ATGTTTGCAAATATGAAGAGATGGCTTGTCCAACAAAATTGCCCCATGACAGTTCAAATATATTTTCTAAGGTTAATAACATATTCAATCTCTTAAGAAATTACTGCTGTTTAAAGCAAGTAAGCAAAGTAACGTAGGTCTTCGATAACTAACAACATAAATACGTAATGTAATCCAAGTTCTCGTGATGATAGCCATAGGATGAGACTACGATTAAAGGAGGATTGATTTTTCATTCGTCTATTTTTTAAATTCTTTAAATTAACTTTTACTTATTATAATGTCGCTCGTCGTTCACCGTTATATTTTATTTATAATTGTCCTGAATATATTTTAAATGTTGTTCTAAATGATGCATTTCATGACTAATGCAATCTACGTAGTTGTTTCAAAGGAAAAGAAAAGTTCAATGTCTTTTGCCTCAATTACTTGGCCAGGACTCATCTTCACTCATTTGTTTTAGATTTGATAAATTCTAAATCTAATATCGTAATCTTACTTAGATAGGAAGATGAGGGGAACACTAGGGGAAGAATGAGGAGTGCTCCTAGTGAGTTTACAACCTATAACTTAGAAAAATATGAAATAACAAAGATTAACAGATTGACCAATTGACCAAATTTACTTACTTATTCTTGCATGTATTTTCTTTGCCTCCTCTTTGTAGTTTCTATTTTTTGTTCTATGTATTCTCATGATGATTAATTAAGATGATGTGACAATTAGCATAAGAATTTATTGATGATGTTTTAAATAGACTGAAACCATCATTAATCCTAAGGTCACTCGTTTAGTGTTTGAGTATTCAGTCAGATTTACACGAGAATTTTATTTGGAGAAGTGGTTGTCGAAATATCATTTACAGATTCAATGGAGTCTCTTAGTAAAATCAATGTTAGATGACTTTACAACAGAATCACCTCTTTTAAAGATATATTTACTATATAGAATAATGTTCTAGAAAATACCGTAAAATATTATATCAAAATTGAAGAAAAAAATTCTCAACCATAAGATTTAAGAGAAAATAAACTACATTACAGGAAGATATGAGAGGAAAGGGGTGGTAAAGGTATCTCACTCGAGGATACTCTGAGTAATTAGAGGAATTAATTAATGAATTACTATATGATTATTAGATGTGGTGCTTAATTGTGCCCATATATATATATATATATATATATATATATATATATATATATATATATATATATATCGTCATGTTATTAATGTTCTTTGGGTATTGGAGACTTGTGAGTAGAGATGGGCATGGGTCGGGTTGGGTCGGATTTTTTGTCCACTCGACCCGACCCGAGAACAATGACTCCTACATTTAAAATCCGACCCGATCGGCATAATATACACCTTCCACTCGACCCGAAATAATAAAAAAATATTATTTTTATTCAATAAAAACAATGATTTAATTGAAAAAAATAATATATAGAGGGGTATTATTATAATTATTCTTAATTATAAGGTAAAATTATTTTTTTCATGGTCGGGTCGAGTATTTTCACTGTAAACTTGAATCCAACCTACCCGAACAACACCTTTAAAAAACCAACCCGACTCGAACTCGAATCTTTTTTAAAAGATCGGGTCGAGTTAGGTCGGAACCCGTCAAGGTTCGGGTCTGATTTGAGTCGGGTCGGGTCAGAACCCGTCGAGTTTAGGTCCCATCCCATACCTTACGTGTGAGTCCATTGTAATGCTTGACCCAAACTGCACTACACTGTTGAAATAGATCGGCAGTGCATGGACTCAACTTCAGAAATTTACATACCCAATACCCAAATACCTTAAACAAAATTATATCGTTTATTTTTATATTTTATTAAGAAAATAATATCTTCTTCACAAGTAATTTTTTAAATTTCACCAGCGGTATATATAGAATTTAATATATTTTTTAATGATAAAATTAATCCAACCAAATTCAATTAATATTTGAATTTTTTATTAGATCCATTGCGCATTAATAAAACGAAAATACATTTTCTGTTTTTTGTAATGCATCTAAACATTTTGCTGACATGGAATCACACGTGGCGGACGTTGATGAAGAGTGATTGATAGAGTGGGGAACGTGTGCCCGCGTACACTCTGCATGCAATGCAGGCGTGCGAGCACGTGCTCTTTCCCGCCCTTTCACGAGCAGTCGCATTTTGCGCTTTTAGACCGTCGGATAAGACGTAGACGGTCCTGATTCTCCTACACTCCTCTTAGAGAACAAAAACCTAATCCATGCCACTTGAGCACCTATCCTCTACATTTCACCAAAGCATTCTGTCCTTCAAATCAACCAATTAGAAATCAAGCTAGATGAAACGGAAGCAATTTCATTTTTGCATTTTTATGGTTTTGGTCCCTTTACCATGCTTAAATTGAATATTTAATCCACACATTAATTTGATATACTTTTCTTCCTTTACTCTTTCTGTAATAATATTATTTAATCCAACCATTGAAACCTTCTGAAGCAAGCAGCCAATGAAGTTTTAAAATATATGAATATGAAACATAATAAAAGATAAAACCAGAAATTGAGCAAGAAAAAGCTGGTATTCTAATTTTAAAGCAACAGTATAATTGTTATCCAAAATGTTGGGTTGCACGAAATTAGCCTAAGGATAGGGGTAGAGAATAAATTCTTGAGCTGGAATTTCATGGAAATGACGTGTACATCCTGCGAGCCTATGAAAATCAACTTCACCACGTTGCCAGTAAGGAGGTTCTTCCAAATCCAATGGAAAACTAGGAACTGCTAACGCTGTCAACGACCAAACACCATTCCACCAGTCTTGACCCTCCCTTCAATCCAATTCTTCTTCCCTTTAAACGTCCCTTTCCTCCTCGACTTCGATAAACCAAAAATGGCGGTGGTGAGCACCGTTGGTTGCGCTGGGAATATTCGTCTCCGACGATACGATTCTTCCAACGTTTTCAACTTTCAATGCCGTTGTGCAGTCCCTTCGTGCTCTTTGATGGTCTCGAATCCACAATCGTCTAAGCAAAAAACGTCCAAGATCTTAGCAACGGCGTCGTTTTCTGAGGCTGGTCTCCGATCATTGCCGAAACAAGCAGAGAGGGGGTTTCCTTATGACAAAGTCGACCATTGGGTGAGAGATTCGGTGGCTGAGATCGTCAAGAAACTGCCCGAATCGCCGCTGTTTGTCCGAGTGTACTCGGATCACGCCAACAAGACGACCAGAACAACGGCGGAGAAGGCGGAGGAAGACAACTGGGTTTCCATGGAACAAAAGGGGAAGAAAGGGGAAAGCTCGATGCCTGACGGGGTGATTTTCGTGGAACAAATACGGGGAGGAGGAGATAAGAGTGGGGAGGCTTCGACTTCAAGGGTATGGGGCATTCTGGTTCAGGGAAAAGGGGACGGTGGGCCGCCGGCTTGTTACGTGTTGAAGACTAGTAAAGTGGGTTCCGGGTTCGGGTTAAACTGCACCCATTTTTGCTTGGCGAAGGTTTCGAGTTTCAGTGAAACTGCTTTCTCTCAGCTCAAGAATTGTTGGCTGGTGCAGTGAAATTGAAGAACTAAACAAGAGGAAGGTTGTGGGAGACATCCATAACTACAATCTGAAAATAATAATTCATGTACATATAGGAATTAAGAATTCATAATTGTCCATACTTTACCGATCAAATATAGTAGCTTTTTACAAGTATGAAAATGGATGTCCAAGTCCCAGATGTGTTCTTTAATGCTTTGAATATGATTTCGCTGAACTGAAAATCAAGTTCCATTAATTTTGGCCAACAACAGTTGCACTGCATTCATATTTGTTAAATACAAAGATGTGCCGACTGAGTGGCGGATATAAAAAATATATATAAAGTATTAACTTTAATAAAATAAATATATGACGTAAAGAAATTCAGATTTTAGAACATACACAAATAAAATTTTAAAATAAACACCTTTAATAAAATAAATAATTAATAAAAATAAATTCGATTTCCAGAACAAAAATTTCAGAACTTACACAAATAAAATTTTAAAATAAACAACTTTAATAAAATAAACAACTAATAAAAACAAATTTAATTTCGAGAACGCACGTGCTGACTCACATATACATATATTTTACACGGAACACAGAGCCGGCTTTTGGCAGGAGCCCCTGAGCTACTGCTCAGTGCCTCTGTTTTTCTTATTATTATAATCATTTTAATTAGGGCCCTTGTTTTTTCATATTTGTAATTAGGGCTTCTAATTTGTTAAATCTTATATTTTACATTTATAATTGAGATTCTAATTTTTTTCAATCTCACTTTTTATCTTTATGATTGAAGTCTCTAATTTTTTCCAATTCCATTTTTTACCTTTATAGTTGAGGCATTTTAGTCATACTTTTTAAATTTATAGTTGAGGCCCCTATTTTTTTTAATCTTACCTTTTATCTTTATAATTGAGACTCTTAAATTTTTTCAATCTCACTTTCTACCTTTATAATTAAGGTCCCTAATTTTTAAATTTTATAAAATTCTCAATTTTATCCCTTTCTTCATCTATCTCGTCAATTCATTTAATTTTGAATTAAATTTAATCATATTTGTCTCTTTCTCACAAACCTCATTTTCCAATTTATCAAAATCTTTAACTCTTTTACTATCTCTAGTCTCAATCTAACAATAAAATAATGTCATTCTTTATTTTATATTTATTATTCAAAATCAAGCTCCATATCATAATTCATACCCACATTCGATTTTTTAATTCTTTTAGTTTCTATTTAATGTGTTTTCTTAACAAAATAATGAAAATAATGTTCGACAAAATTTAATTATTTTTCTATAATATTAAATTAATTATTCAAAGTAATCAAATATATTTCTATTCTATAAAGATCTAATTTTGAGTTTTTACTCAAGGCTCCGAAAATGTTATAGACTGCTATGATGTAACAAAATGGTTATGTACGTCGGTTCAACATCTTTTCATGCATTCCATGGAACACTATAACAATGGCACAGAAAAGTATTTTGAGTTGGGTTAAATTTTGAACCAGCCGTGGAACAAAGTATCACTCACTTGCCCTCAATCATTCTATAAATTGCAGGTCTACAACCAGTTTGGTCCCATCTTGCCAGAAATTGGTTTTGAGGAAGTGTTATCTGCAACTTTGGCAAGTGAGCGATACTGCAACTTAACACACACTGCATTGTCCAATGTCTTCACCCCATACCTGAAAATGCAGATTGTAATTAGCAACAATGATTGTCTTTCTGGGTGCGATCATACCAGCACTAATGCACCGGATTATCTTTCTACTTCGCCTTTAAACCTACTTTACCTAAACTCTCAGTTATGCCAACAATTAATAATCACATTCAAATTGATAGACTCAGTCTAGATTTTGCAACCATTAAGATAGTGAGAACGAAAGACTCCGGCAAGAAAAAGGATGATCGGATTTTCAATAAGGAACAGGTAATGTGGAATCTTATACCGACAACATGTCAACATGGAAGAGGAAAGAAGGCGGTTACTAACCATCCGTTCAAGCATTGTGTAGTTATAACAGCCTCTCGTCCTACGAAACGTGGTGGCGTCCTCTTGTTCCCCTGTATCAGTCTATCTCCAGTCACTAAATTCAACTATTTAAAACAAGAGTTACCAGAAAAAAAAAATACATGGGATCTCACTAGATATACCTTAATGATAACCCGATCTGCCACAGCAAATGGAGACTGAACACCTCTATACCTAGAAGGATCCATGATATGTGGATCACCATAGTTACTCTTATCCTAAACGGAATACACGAGTTAAAACAGTGTTGGGGATAATAAATGCAGAAGTGGGAACCCTGACTATGAGTTGCCAAGTACAAAGCAAGATAAAAACAAAGCACCAAAAAAATATATAAAGAATGCAAAGAGAATCTTGGAAGATAGTTCTTTAGAAAGCAACACCAAAAGGAGGTATGAAAATGGTAAACCTGGTCAAATCTCTCTTTCCTCCTTTTAGGTGTGCGGTAGAACTGTAACTCTTCTTCTCGAATAAATGCCAGCACGGCCGCTCGGAGAGCTGCTAATGAACATCAGCACAAAGAAAACAAATAAATATGTCCATACATAGAAAAAAGAGCATGCATAGCACAGGCCATAGGAAGTTTTTGCATTATCAACATTGTAGACACCCGTTTTTGCCCGGGTTTTTTATCGTTATTTTATTATTATTATTATTATTATTATTTATTATTATATTATTAATATTACATTTTACATATTTTGCAGGCCAAAGCCCAATACAACAAGGCCCAACAAGACCCGGTTCAGGCCCAATACTCAAACCAGGCCTGGATTTGGCCCAAGTAATTAGGGTTTCAAAACCCTAAATCATCCAGCCGCCGCCAGCAACAACACATGGACAGCCGCGCCGCCGTCACTGTTCCGGCCCGTCTCGCTCCACTCCGATGGTCCAGCCGCCGTTCCCGCGCCACCATCGTCATCTACAGTAAACCACAGCAACCCCATCAGTCCCAAATCAACCCAAATCAGAAAAAATATATATATATATCCAAACCCTAAAATATAAAATGCCTAAATCCCGGTAAATCGGGAAATTGGTCACCCTAAATCAACAACCCATAATTTCCCCTATTCCTAGACATCATCATCTCAACAGAATCCAACAAGCAAAAAGGAAGGATAAAGGACCAAAGAGAAGAAGGAGAGGGGGGGGTATTCGGGGAACCAAAAAAAACAAAAGGGGAGAGCATTCGAAATTTAAAAAAACAGAGGAAAGGAAAAGGGAGAGGATCGAAAGGTTACCTTTCAAGCAGTCATAGCCGGGGTCTTCACCGAGCCAAGGTCACCGAGGTTTGAAGGTAACCACTGGTTTTTAGGTCTAGAGTGAGGGGCTTGGGTTTTGGGTGATTTAAGTTTGGGGTTTTAATTTGAGGGTCTTTAGGGGTCGATTTGCTCCCCATGGCCACCGTTACGGTGGCCGGGGAGCCTCTGTTTTCTTGTTACGGCGAGGAAGCAAGAGGAAACAGGAAGAACAGTTTGGGAGGGAGAGAGTTCTCTCCTCTTTGGTTTTGGGGCACGGCTGAGAATGAGAAAGGTAAGGGTTTCGAAACCCTTATTTTGGGTTATAATTGAACCAAAACGACGCCGTTTTAAGGGGTCAGGGTATGCGTGTTTCAGCATCAAAGGGGTAAATAGCCTATTTGGTCCTCGCATCTTTGTAAACTTACGCGTGTTTCTTCAAGGTTTGGGGGGGTAAATCATAGTTTAGGTCCCTCCTGGTTTGCAACATCTCATTTTAGCCATGAATGAAACTTTGTGAATTTTTATTTCGGGCATCTACTTTTAGTTGTTTTTATTTAAGTCCTGATTTCTTATATGTTATCATTTTTGTGTATATTCGAATTTGAACATTAAATTTATAAATATTTTATATTAGTCACTGTTTATTATTTGATTTAATTACTGTTCGGCCCTCTATGTTTCTGTTGATATTTTAATTTGGCCTTAATATTTATGCATGTTACATTTTGGTCACTCTTACAGTTTATATATTTTGTATTTTTGTATACCATGTTCATATAGTTTGTATTTTGGTCACTAGATCTTCTGTTGCTAATATTTTTATAAATTTGTACATTGTATTCTGCAGTTATATATATATCTTATTTTAGTCCCATTATTAAAGGTAATATTATTATGGTCATACTTGACTTTGGTCCCAATGTTTGTAATAGTTTCATTTTAGTCACCAATCTTGTGTTTTGTGTATTTTCTTTGATGTTCAAATTTGGCTACAGAATTTATGAATTTTTGTTTTGGTCACTGTTGGTTATTTTGTGTTAAATATGGAATGTAGCATGTATGTTTACTTTTATGTCATTTTAATCCTTTATCATCATTTTTGGGTTATTTCCATTTCAATATTTGTATTATTTAACATTTGCTACTTGGGTTCTGATTTGTTTGTAATTATTGTTGTAGTCCCTAAGTTTCTATTTGTTTCAGTTTAGTCCTAAATTCATGATTATGCTATTTTATTCCTTTAACTTTCTGTTTTACTATTTTAGCCATGTAAGTTCATGTTTTGTCATTTTAGTCCCCGAAATTATCCTATGTGTTTTATTTGATTTATATTTATATTTGGATTTGTAATTTCATCTTAGTTTTTACTTTAGTCCTTTATGTATGAATATTTTATATAATGTAGTTATTTGTGAACATATATATTATTGGTTCTAGTTATCGTACATGTTTTATTTTATTTTTTAATCGTGCTCATTTCCTTGGTTTTATTTATTTGTTAATATTATTAGAATACTTTCAAGAACATGTATGCGTAGAATGAGCGTGGAAAGTACCACTTGATCGAAGTGGTGTGATCTGGTACGGCATTTTAACGACATAGAAACTTGAAATAAGTCGAGTATATTTTGCTAATAAATTTGTTCAAACGATGCAATGTGTGTTATTTTAAATGACAATTTACTTTATTTTATGTGAATGTAAATTTCAAAAATTTTAATTTGTATTCAATTCACGTTTTTAGTTAATCAATTTATTCGTATGTAAACATTGTTTTTAATTATATTCGATTTGTATTTTTAACATAATCAATGATAGAATATTCTTTTACGAATGAGAAATAGTTCGAGTTAGTTGTCCCGATGGAGGATTGCTAATTTCAAGATTTCCTTTCGAGTTAAAGAATTTTCTCTATTAAATAATTCGAAGCAAATTAATTAATGTTCGATAAATGGATCATAAATTAACTTTATATTCGATTTGTAATTTCCACCATTATGACAATGTGTAAGCGACACAGTACCAATTTTGGGCGTTGTGGGGGTGTTTACCCTTCCCCGCACGTAATCGACTCCCGAATCCATTTAAATGAATCTTTGGTAACGCAGACCGAATCTTGTCTTAAAAAATGATTTTTCTTAAAATTGTTTTAAAAGACGTTTTTAGGTATTCGACCTACCTAACCCAAAGGTTGATGGCGACTCTTTTTAATTTTATTCAAATCAATGCAAAATCACCCATTTTTCCAAATTAAAGTCATAATTGTTTTTAAAAATAATATTTAATTGTTCCACCTAAAAATGGTTATGACAGCTTGGCGACTCCGCTGGGGACTTTTTTTAGAGAGTCAAGCTGTAGGTCGCTTACACATTGTCGTCTTAGTGGAAATTATAAGTTTGAGTACATAGTTAACTTATGATCCGTTTATTGAAATTTTTAATTGCTTCGTTTTTGTCATACTAACATTTTATTTTTGGCTTTCAGCTTTATCAAGATTTTATCATTTTTTTCCTTGTTTTGTTTTCCTTTTGGGTCGAAGGTAGGTACGTTCCTCCTCACACACATCACGTGCATTCACATAACATGAGCTCTAGACACGAGCTTCGATCCAAGTTAGTCGGGGTGAATGCTTTACTCTCGTAAGAATTTATTCTTCGTATGAGTTTTAGCAAATAACCCATGGGATACATACCTTATACCTTCGTAGGAATTTATTCCTCGTATGGGTATAAGGCAGTGAATCCCCTCGAATTGAACTCGGTCCGTTTGAAACCTGTAATGGGTAAGGATTGAGGGTCTGGCAGCCCAAGGGGGCACCGACATCAAGGACAATTCGAGTCCCTTTTTTCCGTTAGAGTCGAAACCAAGCATATAGTGAACCGTCGAACGACCACCCTAGGTATAGTTATATCGAATCTCTGTCCGTCAGTAGGTGCCCAAACTAGGTGTACACAAAGGAGGAGTGTTTCTAAACCCTTATCTTTTGTTTTAATTTCGTAGAATTTGTTTTCTTTTTGAATAAAAGCATGCGAACTAGATACCATGCGGTTAGGACCAATTTTTTGAAATTATTCATTTTGGGTAGATAACATGTCCGGGTAGGATTGTTATCTATTGAAAGCATGCTCGGGTAGATATCATGATGGGTAGGTGTTATATTCATCTTTTAATAACACTTTTATCTATATCGATTGTGTTACCTGTACTAACTAATTTCTTTTATTTTCTTTGTGTGCACTAACTTATTTATTTTCTGTTGTTTTTGTTTTTTCATTCTTCTTTACATTGCATCATCATAACATAATGCGAAAATGTTGATCAGCAAGGGGATATTCGAGAGAAAATTTTCACAAGAAGAGATAAAAGTTTTCAACCAAGCAGTCGCGTACACAGACATGCACCGAAGGCTAAAAAGAAATGCACAGAGTACGAGAAGGAGACTTGCTCAAGACGATCGTGCAACGTTCGAGAATAAAATGATGAGCCACTGATCCGATGAGTGATCCAGCAGTCGATTTTTATCTACGATCATTTCATCGCTATTTATCAAGGAGCGACACACTGACTTCCGCACCACTGGGGTATTAACAGAGTTAGGTTACAGAATGTTTTAGGGGCATCAGTTCCAAATACAAAGATCCGAGACAAAGCAGTGAGCTCGAAGATCGTGCAACATTTAAGACTGAAGACTGGGGATTAATTCAGCAGTAGATTATTATTTATGATCGTTCCGACGTTATTCATCGAAGAGTGATGCACTGACTTCAGCATCGCCGAGGTATTAACGGAGTCAGATTACAGAGCGCTTGAGGGGCATCATTATTGAGGATGAAGATTCGATATGAAGCAGTGATCCATTCCAGGCTCACCATCTAAGCGAAGTCAAGTCTGTAAAGGGGACTGTCTTGTAATGTGAAAACTTTTGTCTCTGGTGAAAATTTGTTCTAAAATATTCGTCGTTGGGATCAATATTTTTGCATCTGCATTTTCATCATTACATTTTGCACAACATTCATTTAAGCATTGTTACATGCATTAATCATACCTTGCGGGAAACTTTAAGGAAACACTTCTAACTGTGCAACTGCATTCACACAGTATTGAGAATGGATGCAAAATTTGAGCAACTGAAGAAAGAGCTAGAAGAGAGTTTACAAAAGATGCAAGCTGAGTGGGAGGTTAAAATGGAGCAGATGCAAAAGACCACCGTGGATCGTATCTTGCAAAACCAAAAGGACATAGTTGGCCAAATGG